CCTCCCTTTCCTTTTTTCTTTCTTTCTCTCTTTGGAAAAAAGAAGTTTAACAAATTTCAGAAATATTCATGCTCAAGAATTGCCCAAGGCATCTGGACCTTTTAAAAAAGTTATTACACTTTTGATAAACAGGATGTACTTAAAATGTTTAAAAATGAGATTCCATCTTAAGATCGGGGACTCATTAAATAGTCTTTAAGCTCATTTCTGTATTATGATATTTTTAACCAAGGTAAATTTCTAAGTTTAGTTGTATTACTTCCATATGTTTCTCCATAATTACATACACTTGATGCTTTCAAAAGCCCTAGTAAATCTCACTGAATGTATTTGTCCCTTTTGCTTTCTGAGTGTAGCCCATTCTCAGCAAACATTTAACAAACTCTGACTGGGTGCCCGCCCTTGCACAGGTGTGCGGGTATGGAGGTGAATAAGGCGAGGCCGCCACCTCCAAGAGGCTCACATGCTAAAGGTAGGCGGACAGGTGAATAAAGAGAGGAACCAGGTATCACGGCTCCTGAAACAAGGGTGAGGGGATGCAAAGGGAGGCAGGTGACTCCCAGGGAGCAGGAGTCCTTGAGGCAGGCAGCAAGGGAGCAGAGATCCATGCGGAGCTTGGCCTGAACCTTGAAACTGCAGGAGTCGGGAAAGGGCAGCTCGGGCTGCAGGAGCAAGAGGATGGAAGGCTCGGTGGGGTGGGAGAACGTTGTATGTCTGGGGAACGGCATGTGGTGCCTTCACGGGACTGGAGCATGGGGCACAGGGACAGGGAAGGGGACAAGGATGAGGAAACCCAGCCACTGATGTCACACGAGTGTCACACACTGACACTTGGTTGCAGAACTCAGATTCTCCAGCCCTTCTGCCTCTTTAGCAAATCCGAAAGCCTTGATCAGCCTGCACCCACTCCCCTGTGATCTGCACCCACAGGGGCCCCCAAGGAGCAGACCATTAGGGGGTTCATCACTAAGCCCCTGCTTGACCTGGCAGATCCAATGCAGCCCCAGGCTCCCAGGCGGTGAGCGCAGCCCTCACAGGGCCTAGCTCCTCTCTGGGCTTCAGCGACCGCGTCTGGACAGGGCAGGGCTGGACGCGCCTCTCTCCAAGCCTTCTCAGCTGAGTCTCAGCTCCAGGATCCAAAAGGCAAAGCAAAACAAAAGCTCTACCCGCTGTGAGCCGAGCAGGCGGCCAGCCTGCCAGCCAGCTGCCCGACCTGGCATCGGTGGCTTGTCCCACACTAGTAGTTGGCACTGGCCAGGAGGAGGGTTTGGGAAGAGGCTCCGGCAGACTGGCATGCCTGGCCTCCCAGATGACTTCCCAGCCCATGTGCCAGTGGGAAACCAACAGAGGCGGGTGGCCAGGGTGGGCAGCCTGGGAGGCAGAGCAGGTGGCCCCAGAACAGCAGGTTTGGGCAAGTCATGTCTGGGCGCTGTTCTGGGGGCTATCGGGCTGCGGGAGCCAAAGGGAAGGCGGGCATGAATGTGTTCAGTGCACAAAGAGGGTCAGGGGTTGGAGGTGCTGGGTCAGGCAGGCTCTGCAGAGGCCAGGGATTGCGGTCTGCAGATTGGACACACACAGGACATCTGAGGCCATAGCCACTCCCCAAGTCAGAAGCCAAGCCCTGCATGTGGAGGGAAGACCGGCCCACCACATAGGCGAGAAGGGCGTGGGGTCAGAAAGCTCACCCCCCTGAGGATGGGAGGGTGTGTGGAAAAGACAAGCCCTGAATGAGAAGGGCAGGGATCCAGGGTCAACCTGCCATTGATTCCCTGAGTGAACTTGGGCTTGTTCCCCCTCCTCTCTGGGCCTCAGTTTCCTTGGCAACATGACGGGGGTTACCGTTACCTGTTTCGCTTTACCCAGAGGAGTCTGTGAGAAGACAGATCATGAGTGAGGTAACAGATATGAAAGATGTAAACAGTTAAGGCTGGAGCCCCTCCAGCCCTTGACCTCACTGACTCCCTGCCTGTGGCCACTTCACAATCTCTATGTGACAGGAATCAGTGGTGGCAATGCTGTGGGTGAGGGATGTGGCAGTGGTGGCCTGTCTTGAAGCTTCACTTCCACTTACAAGGAAAAATTGTGAAAATCTTTTAAACTGGGCAATAAAGATTACTGGAAGTCCTTCTAGTAACTTCTAGATAATTCTTATCTGGTCCTTTTAGATAATCCTTTCTTACAGGTTATCTGTTCCTTCATTGTTTTAGAGCTATCTTGCAGCTTTATAAATAGTAGAAAACTGGTAATGCCTTGATTCCCATCCATGGAAATTCAAATGAATTTTGTCCATTGGAATGGCAATGATTATTGCTCTGTGGATATTGACTACTTTTGTATTTATTTCAACATTCCTGAAGGCCCACATGTGCAGTTCTGTGGATCCCCCATTAATGAATGAATTAAACACAGTACCTGACATGTTCTTTTTATATCCATTGTATTCGTTTTCTGTTGTTGTGTAACAGTTTGCCACAAATTTATCAGCTCAAAGCAGGACCCATTTATGGGCACACAGTCCTGTAGGTCAGACATCTGAGCATACACAGCAAGGCTGGGTTCTCTGCTCAGGGTCAGCCAGGCTGCATTCCTTTCTGGAGGCTCTGGGGAAGACTTCACTTCTGAGCTCATTCAGGTTGTTGACCAAATTCCACTCTTTGAGGCTGTAAGACTGAGATCCCTGCTTTCTCTCTTGCTGTCAGCTGGGGACCCGTCAGCAGCTGGAGGCCACCTCTGTGGGTTGGCAGTTCACAGCACAGCAGTCTGCTTTCTTCCAGGCCAGCAGGAGCAGGTCTCACTGGTTTCTTCCTCTGTGACCACCCAGAGAAAATGCTCTGCCTTTAAAGGGATAACCTGCTGGAGTCAGGACCACCCTGCAAATCCCCTTTAGCCATATAATATAAAACAATCCCAAGAGTGGTACTGTATTTATAGGTCCTATCCACATTCAAAGGAGAGGGATTATACAAGGGTGAGGGTCATCCTAGAATTCTGGCTACCACAAATGATTTTACCTAACAGAAAATACTTGGACTCAATCTATAGAAACTAAAAGACCACCAAAGAATAGGAACAGGCTGGTGGCGATGATGAGGGTGCTAACACTCTCCTCTGCCCCTTGGTACTGCCGCTGACCCAAGCCCTGACCCACTTGAAGGCCAGCTTGACGGTAAAGTTGACTTTGGTTATCTGTCTCCCTATTCAGGCTAGGAACTCCTCCCAAGCCGGAACCTCCTCCTACTCAGATCTCACCTAATCTGGAGCCCTTACAGCAAACCCTGGTGAGTAGATTGATTCTCTCTTCTGTTTATTTTAATTCAAAATACCCACTAACACTCACACAATCTCTTGGGTCTGGGGGTAGGATACTGTGGAGAAAGAAACTCAGAGAGGCTCCAGCAATGAACATCGTGTTGGTCAAATGGACACTAGGGAACCTCAGGGCCATCAGAGACCAGAAGATGGGATGGAGGTAGTTCTGATTCCCGTGAGGGTTCAGCTTCAGGGTGGGCAGAGAATAAGATGGAATCGCTGAGTCCTCCATTTGGTCTGCCTCCAGGGCCTCTGCCTCATCCTCCTCTATGGAGAGAAACTTCATAAACTCAGAACATCACCAGCTTCTCCCCCCACTCCAACCCCAGACAGCTCATTCCATCTTTGTCTCTGTGCTTTAGCACATACTGTTCCCTTTGCCTGGCATTTTCATTGGGCCTAACCTCCACAAAGGAACTTCTTCTTTTCATTCTTTATCACTCAACTCAAGTATCAGGTCATCTGACAACTGTATTCCTGGCATGTTTCTCACCTTCCCACGGGCTATTTCCATATTGTTTGTTTTAAATGTATATTGAGAATGGACTCATCTAAAGGCTTACCTTGCTAACTTCCTGCTCCCTACAAAGGAAAATGTCACCGGAATGTGTAAAAATAAAAATCTAAGGCAAAACATTAAAAAAAACCAAACTCAGGTCTTCTGGGAAAACTTCCTTCAGAGGCATCAGAACAGTGGAAAGAACATGGGCTTTGAAGTTAGTTAGAATATTGCTTCTGCCCCTTCCAAGCTGTAATGTAGGCTCTCGGAGCCTTTGTTTCCTCATCTATGAAACGAACACAATGCAGTATTTGATGATAAAGCCCGTCTCAGTGACCGAGTGCACCATCATTATAATAATTATAATTGTGTGCTTGCCACATTTGTGCTGGACAGCATGCTCAGTGATTTATATGCATTCTTCATTTAATCTCCCCAACAATTCAATAAGGAAAGTTCTGTTATCCCACTTTGCATATTAGGAAACTGAGGTTGAGAGAGGTTGGACCCAGTCTTATACCCAAAGCTCCTCGTGCTCTTGATCATTATGACACACTGCCTCTTAGAAGGCACTCAAGAAATTATTTCCTTTTCCTTCTCTCTTCCCCACCAGGCTCACCTCTGGACTATTAAAGCT